CACTTTATATTGCTTAATTGGAGTTGCTAGGGACTGCATACGTCGATCAGCGGAGCACAAAGTGACATGACAATGCTGTCATGTGTCTCTGATTTTTCCTCTCCTCCCTGAAAGAAGTCTGGACAGAAGACTACATGTGTTTGTTGGCCCACAGAAAAGCACACATAGCTGTGTGTTTGTGTGCCCTTGATGGCACCTCCTTAGAGGAGACACAGTCTGTGCCCTCTGTGGGCAGCAGGAAAAGGGGAAACCTGCAGCAGCCTCTCTCTGCAGGCTGAGCTCCAGCTCTGAGGCAGCTCTGACCCCATCCTGTTCCCCTGTGCTCTAAAGCCAGTGAGCACAAACACGGGGGTGGGAGGACAGTCCAGCTTTTATTTGTTTTGCACGGTGGATTTTGGTGTTTTCTGAGCTCAGGAATGCCGCCTGCTCCTCCGCCCCCTCTAGTGCAGCTGCACCTCTGGGTCCCAGCCCCAGCTGCCACAGCTTAGCTCTGCCTCCAAACACATTCTTTTGCTGGGTGCAGTGCCTCTGTGCTCTAGGATGGAGATTGGCTTGTGACTGTCTCGGCCTGCATGGCATCTGCTTCTCTCTGCCTTTTTAATCCTCTGCATTTTCCATAACCTAACAAAAACGAGTAACAAATCTGGGATGCACTTCTCCAGCCAAGGGGACAGATCTGGGGCTGTGGCATTTTACACCTACTGTGATTTCTGCAGCAGTCTCTCTTTCTCTTTCTTTTCTCTTTTTTTTCAATACACATCAGACTTGTGAGAAATGTATTCTTACGTCAGTAATGTTCAAAGGCGAAAAGAAAAGCTGCCAGAAGAGAGCTTTAAAAGTCTGACATATTATCATTCAGAGAAGAATTTTCAGTACAATTATTCTGGATTTTTTCCAATAAATAAATTGTACAGACTTTTAAGGGAGAGCTTTTAGGTTAATGGAAATATTACTTAAATTAAAATACATCCCATTCAGCCATCAATTCCACTGTCATTGCAGCGTGTGTTTAATGTTAATGACATGCCCAAATAAAAAGGAAGAAACTGATTTGTTTTATTGTGTCCGAAGATGAGTATGATCTGTTGTGGTAAGTTAAATACAAGCCAGAGGGGGCATAGGGCAGCATCAACAGAAGCATGGTTAAAATGTACTTGCAGAAGGCATATTGCACAGCACTGTGCATGGGAATGGTAAGAAATATATTTTGTCTTGTATTTCAATGAACTGATTTTTACTTTTTTTCTTCTCTTGGTGACTTTATGAGGAGGCCTTCTACAGCTTACAGGCTCTGTCCTTTTTTTTTTTTTTTGGAACCTCACACAGGGGAGAGTGGATCCCAGATTCCATCTGGGGCTTGTTCCAAATTCTCTCCTGCTCCAAGGAAATGGTGGGCAGCTTGGAGAGGAGCTGCCAAATCCAAATGATGTCTTGAACTCCACAGTTTCCAGATGAGCTCTCACCAGACTAGGTTTCACACCACCTGCATGAGGCCCTTCTGCTGCCAGCTGAGCTGGACCACATGAGAGACAACTCCCTGGGCCTTTGGAACCCATGCTTTCCATTCTGGCAAGGGAAACATGGTCAGCGGACAGGTGAGTGAGCAAAGAGGAAAAGCTAACTGGCTTCCACCTCTTCTGCCTTTTGATTTATGATTTATGCTGGATTGGTTTCTGCATATTCTAGTGTGTCACTTGTCAGCAGGTAACAGGACTCTTTCTTGGGATGGACATGAGCTTGGCTGCTCACCCACTGCAGCGGTTTTTGTCCTGACCACCCACTGTGGTGCAGGTGTGTGTCCTCGGGTGGGTCACCCAGGTGTTGGGTCAGCTGCCCGGGGGAGGGCAGATGCAGAAGAAGCCTGGGAAGGAGATCCAGCAGTCAGCATCCCTTTTGGAAAGGGTGGCTCTTAGTTGCAGGGCCATGGGGAGCAAGGATGGATTAGCTGGTGAGAGCTGTTACTTCACAGCCACTGGTGCATCCCCACCCTGCGAGCCCTCTGGAGCCCACCTGTCCCTCTGGAATCCAGGTGCAGATATACCAGGGATTTTCCCTGAATCCTTGCTGGAAAGCAGGTGGGCTGCCCACCCAGGGCACAGAGTACAGCACTTAAAACACCAGTTATAAACATGGTGCCCACGAAGTTCAGGCCTGAGGTCTTTAAATGGGATTAAGAAGGGTTTCAAGGCAGCATCTACATGGACCCAACTGTAGTGAAGATACTTATTGACTCAGTTCAGGCTTGAGTCCATAGAGTGAAGTGTTTTATTCAACAGAATAAGCCACCACAGGGATTGAAAGGTGAGAGGGATCATTGCTCATTGGTATCTTTCATACTCATACTCTTTTCATACCGATGTCTGTGTCAGGATAATTGCAGTAACAGCAGTCTAGGTGATGGCTGCTTCCCACCCTTCAGATGACAAGCTGGCCACTGGTTTTGGGGACACAGGATTGCATCAGAAACACTTAATCCTGTGGAGAGAAGTGAATGGGTTTTGCTGGCTGCAAGGGCAAGTTCTCCTTGCTGTATTTGTCCTTCACTGAAAGTCTTAGGGCAGGAGAGCCACGTCCAAGTTGAAGGCACAACAAGACCAGGCCTTGAATCTGTGAAGATTTTAAGTGGAGCTTGTTCTCCAAACTTTCCTGACTTCTTAGTCCACTCAGCAACTTGTTGGGAAAAGTACTGGATCCGATTTCATGCCCCTGTGGGGCTTGGGGAATGTTTGTAGCAAAGGGCAAAATTACTCAATTTGAATCTTGATGTGGCTTTAAGAGAACAGAACTCCCAAGCAAGTCACCAACATATCCCTGGGTTTCTGGTGCTCACTTCTCAGGCTTTGCTATGCAAAATGAACTGTGCTTTTCTTGGAGACTAAGAATAACTTCCAGGCCAAGTTCCAAGGTCAATCCATCCATCTGACTTTTTCCATCTATATGAATTAACTGTCTTCAGCACAAATTTAACAATGCAAATGCATCACTGCTAGAGCATATTTAGAGGACAGCTTCAGGATCACCGAACACATTGTTACTTTCAGAGAGGCAGGATTCCCAGACATTACAATGCAATTGCTATTTGGGCTCAGTTACCACTGTGGCTTCCCACTCTCTTTTTTCTTTCAAGGTTACTCCTTTGCAACAGAAAAAATATTTGTTTTTCACCAGTAGCACAAGGAGTATTTTCCTGGGATTCCCTTGAATGTTCTTTGCTTATGATCAACTGAAGAGATGTTTGTGAATCTGATTGTTGTGTGTTGTCATAGCTACATTTCTATCCTCCTGGGGTAGGGGTAGGTTTTCACTTAGGGTCACTGCAGTTCATGTCAAGTGGGTTTTGTTCCTTTTTTTTGTCCTTCTCCACATTCACATGAAAGTGTTCTTGCTTTCATCTTTGTAGCCTGCTCCTTCCTCTCAGATCCTCTGTCTTGGTTCAAAGGGTCCTTGTGCCAGCAGGCTAATGCACACCTGGTGCAACCTAGGGACAATTCACTCCCAGGAAAACAATGGGCAGTTTGTGCATTCTCATCATCACCAGGGGCTTCCTGCAATGGAAAATAGCTCAAGGTTTCTAAGGCTCTCTCATCCCACAACAAAATAAGCCTGTGGGCAGATGTAAAATCAACATGTTTGTTTTGGCCTCCAGCCCAACACTGCCAATACTGTCTCCTTTGGGAAGTGAATTCCTTTGTATTACCCCCTGCTTCCCTCTGCTTGAACTGTCTTCTTTGCAGGACCCTGTCTGCTTAGTGCAGTCCCAGGGTGAAATTAGTGTTTTCCCTTTTAGCAAAGTGTTTTCTTCATATGACACTGCTTCTTTGGCTGTGGTTGCCATTCATCACACTTACAGTCAAAGACCTCCTTGGTATTGGTACATTCTGACGGCTTCCCATTTGGGAAACGGGCATGGCAATTCTGTCTCTCCTAGGGACATTCTGAAGAAGCTGTGTTGAATGACCCTAGCCTCTGGTCTGTATGATTAGTATATGTGATTATTCCCTGTCATCCAGGTAGCCATGTAGACAGGCAATGTAGGATATAAGATGGACCATCTAAAAATGGGACAAATTGTTAACAAGTGCTTGGTGGTCACTTTGACTTGAGAGCTGGGACAAACCTTGTGCTTCCCTGCTTTACCAGGAACACCCGTACTGCCTGCAAGCAGGAAAATATCTCTTGGGGGGGTTCTGCAATGGTGGGAGGCATATATGCCGTGAGGGAAGAATTTGGAATCCATCCAGTCTGTCTATAGAGCAGTCACTTGTAATCATTGCTAATCCAATGAGAGTAGTAAATAGTTATGGATGCCTGCATAGATTTATTGGTCTGAGGTGATGCCAAGTGGCAGAGATAAAGCAAGGGACAATATTTACCAGAAGTAAATGTTGATGTTTATGGAAAAACTATGTGTATGTTCACATCTACTTCGAATGTTTTTGTGAGAGATACCAGAGAAGTCTCCGTTATGGGTGTATCCTCATAGGGGCAATAAGTTTTTCTCTTAAGCTAATAGTCTAAAGGGATAGATTAATATCAAGGTTCATTTAAAAATTATTTCTTTTCCCTTGGAAGGTGAATAATATTTTTCCCTTACATTGCTGCAGTCCATCATAATGTTTATATTTGCATGTGTAATTTGATTATCTAGTGCTACTTCAAGCTCAGTATTACTCATTTCAGATGAGTAAAGAACAATTTGAGGTCTGGCTCTTTACACTAAATTATAAATTAAACCCATCAAATAAAATCTTTTCCCCAATAATTTTGACATTACAAATGCCATGGATATCTCTGGGGACAGGGATACTCTTAAACACCCACCTAAGTGTTCGCAGTGTGGAGGGATAGAATGTAAGAAAATATAGTGAGAAGGTAGTCTCACCCCTGAGGAGCTGCAGCTGCACTAATCACCAAAGATTAGGAACAGGCCTGCCCTTAACAGGATACAGCTGTCCAATAAGGAGATGAGTTCTACAAAAGAGTGGGTTAGCTGGGGGAGGAGATGATGGAGTTTGTTGGTTGTGCTGTGAGGAGCTGCACATGAGAAATCACAGAGAAGGTATGGAACTTTTGAAATAAGTTGACAACATTGCAGAGTCCTCATTTTACTGGCCATCTATGTGCCACAGGCTCTTCTTGTGTTTAACATTTACAAGTGACTCCAGTGAAGATCTTAGTCTTGAGAGTTTTTTTGCAAAAATGCTGACCTGCTTCTCATATTCCAAGACCAAAACTGGTTAAAGAAGAGAAATATGGGCTGTCCATGCTGTTTGTGTGTGGCTGTTACTCAGGGTCAGTGTTTTCCTGTGCAGTCAGGCAGGGATAGATTTTCATTTGCCCAGGTCTATCTCACAGCAACAGAGAAAGACCTTATAAACATGGGAAAATCTGACACAATAAAGCTAGCAAGGGAAGCTGTCCAGGCTTTTAGAACTAACTATATATGTATGCATTTAAGGAATGTCATATTATGTAGCTGAGACAAAAATCCATTGAAACATATCAGAATTGTGAAGTGAAACATTGGGTTATGGATGGATGCTGTTTCCTGAGTAAATAAACATCCTTTGTGGTTGGCTTTGGCTTATTTTATCGCTTTATTTTTCACTCTCACTATTCGGTAGGGGGTTTTGGGTTCCTTGGACTCTGCAGAGGATCAGTCATTTTCTCCCAGTGGCATTCTCAGCAGCGCATCTTCATCCTTTGTCTATTCACAGCTGACTGGGTGCACTGAAGTGTTCTTATTCTTTTTGTTTCCTAAAATCTTAGTTGTAGAGAGAAAAATCAAAAAAGAGGGCAACTAACTGGGCAGGTCCCTGTAGGGAGCTCAAGGACCTTGCTTTTGTTGAAATTGTTTGGAGCTCCACCTGGTAAGTAGCCAGATACAAGAGGTCATGGTTAGCTTTTACTGAAATGATAGAAGAGTTTTCTTGGGGCTTGTTTTGGTTTGTGTTTTGTTTCTTTTAGTACAAATCCTGACCAGAGCCAGAACCAAATAACAGTGGTGACGTTTGTTTTCCTTTTTCTCCTGTCCTGGGCATAAATTCCCAGTTCTTGTTTCCTTTTTTTTGCATTCTCTGCTTCCCTGGAGTATTGCCCTTCTGCTGCAGACAAGGCCCCAACCAGATAAGCTCTCCCCTTTGCACCTGCATTTACTCGCCTGCATTTAGGATGGAAGCAGTGAAGAGCCCTTCACAAGGGCTGTGAGGGTAGGACAGCAACTGCATCTGAACAGCCAGAGTCTCTGCACATGAAACAGAGATAATCTTCCCTGTTCCTAATAGCACCTGTCTATCCTGCAAATTAATCTCTGGGAGCTTGAAGATGGGCACCCAGAAAATGAGGTACAGGCAGTGACAGTGTATGACAAATTTAGATTAGAAGTGATCTTTCACAGCCAGAGCTGGTACTCATGTCTGATCTCATGGGCAGCAAATACTCATTGACATCAGTGGGAGCACAATGGGGGCTCGCCTTGCCCACAGTTACTGTATTAAATGACTTGTAACTCAAAAGGTCTTGGATGAAATTTATTAACCTACACCAAACACATCCGTTTACAGTGATGTTTTGCTCAAGACAAAGCCTGAAGAAGTGATAAGATAATGGAAATCAGAAGAGGCAGAAAAAAAATTAAATCTAGGTGATTTTATTATTGATTTTTTTAGTCTAAATACCTGTGGATAATTTTATTCGAATTCCACAGAAAAAAATCCCTCTTTGCAAAAGAAATTTCAGATCCCACAGTTTCCAGAAGAAACCATGCACTTGGAAGGTTTTATCACAGAAACTATGCTCACTGTTGAGTAAAGAGAAATTCTCCCTTATTTCTTATCATTAATACGGGTCCCTAGCTGACCTGCTGGCTTTCCTAGTAGTCTGTTGATGGTGCTAGTCAAGAGTATTCTGCAGTCTCCAGGTACGTGCCTGAACTGACATGTTTCTGAAATGGCTTCTTCAAACACTGTTCCATTGCTTTTTCAGTTTGGGAATTAAAATGGAAAGTGCATTTACTCCTTAATATAGAAAGGAAAATGGGGATTATATATTAAAATATTTAAAGTGGTTAAATTAGCAATCAGCACAAGTGAGTTTGGTCCATTTTTTAAAAGCAGCCCCCCAATAACAGGCAAATTACAGGTCATCAGACTCAGTTCCACTCTCCCTTCTCATTTTGATGAGATTTTGTGGTTCTTCCATTCATTTATGGTAATGCGTCAAATTATGCTTTAAGAAAGTTAGAAATGAAGACAAGAGATGCTGCTTGTTTGAAAGTATTTTGCATAATGCAATGACTTTTAAGTTTGGGTAATGCCAAAGATTGATAATGCGGTCTAGAAGAAAATAAAATGCTGACATCCTCCGCAAGCTTCTCATCTGTAGATAAATATCTTTGCTGCCACTGATATATGCATCTTTGTCCAGCTTTGTCCAGCTGTGTGCTGTAGTACAGAGCCATCATTTTATTCTTTAGACAGCCAAAATTCTGAATTGTATAGGCCAGCAATTTGTTATACTTAGTGGCCTGATAGAGATTTCTTAATGTTATGTGGACATACCAGAGCAAAGAGATAATGTGATAATCAAAATCAACATGTATAGGAGTACTTACCATGCAGTATTTTCCTAGCCTGAAACTACCTAATCCTTCATGCATGTATATTGGTAATAACAGAGATATGCTTACATAACTGCAAATGGAAACCCTGCAAGGACTGTACTGCACCTTGGCAAATGATGTTTTCTCCAAAACCAGTTGTTTAGAAAAATCATTAATTAATTAATTTGTCCTTCCATGAACAAAGGGCACTTCAATTATTATTTTCCCTTGTCTTTTCTGATGTTTTGTTTACAGGCCTGTTTGTTGTGATACTCATTCTTCTAACTGTATTTGTAAGTATATTACCATATCCTCTACCTGACAAGTCATTTATAACATACCATTCAGAGAAATGGTGGATAAAGGAGTCTGGGAAAGAGTGTGTTTCTCTTATTTGCTGGGCCTGCTAGTCAGGTGCCAGGACAAAAAGGGAGATTTCACTATTTACTTCCCTGGTTCTTGTCTGCTTATAGATATTCTGAAAGCACAGGCAGAAGTGTCACTGAGCCTGTGCAAAATCCTGTGGGGCACTAGGACTGAACCCATCCATCCCATGTAAAACATGGCCCCAAATGCCTGGGGTCAGCTTTTCAGGGGGGCAGGGAGCTAACAGCTCAGCAGGAACAATGGTCCATAGCAGTCTCACACTGTCCAGGTGTGGTCTGTAGGCACAAATTCTGTCACTCCCCACCCTGACCCCCCAAAACAAGAGACCCAGCTAAGTGGGTTGGGAGGCTGGTGATCAGCATCCATGGATTTTGGGTGACCAACATGCAAGCACTGCTGGTGAAAAAATGCTGCAGTATCCTGAGGTCAAGCACTGACCTAGAATGAAACTGGAATAAGCTGGAGGTCGGGATATGCCATGGTAGGAGGCCAAAGCACGTGTCATTGTTTAAAAGCAAGCATTGTTTGTGGTAGCTCATAAATATTATACTTGTCGTCTTTCCCCCTCCTGGTAGACCTAGATACTAGGCAGGTTTAACTCCATTTTAAATCTGCTATGCCTATGACTGAAATCATAATATTTATGCAGGGTAGTTTTTCAAGAAGCTTAGTGAATGTGAAAACAAGTTCCTGGGTTTTCCTCTTTCATGGAAGCAAGCTGAAGGTCAGATTTACAACATCTCAAGCTACATTCTGTGCTCATTTACACAGCTGTAATCTTGAGTTATGCCACTGAGGACAAGCAATTGCTCCAGACTTACAGGATATAACTGACAGCAGAATTTAGCTTGGGGTTGCCAAACTTGACAGAAAAGGAGCTGCAAGGGTGGAATTTGGTGCTCGTGAAGTAGCTTGTATGTATTCAAGGAATGTATGAGCCTAAAGATTTATTAGTAGTGTTTCAGAGCATTATTGAAATTAGACCTAATTATCTGTGTAATTTGCTGGAACCAGCATTTTAGCATTTTTGATCAAGTATATGCCATTAATTTAAAAAAGAGATGTACCAGGCTGCTCTCAAAAAGCAGAATTAAAAAATATAAAATTAAAAAGAAAGCCCATCATTTCTAAATAGCGTGTTTAGAAAATTTCAAAGGTTGTTGTTGGTTGAGTCCTTCTCCCCGCTTTGCATAACAGTCCATTTGCAGTCTAATTGTATGGAAAAAAGTTCATTTGTATGGAAAAAAGTCGCCCCTGAAGGTTATTCCAGCAAGCAGAGAAAAGAATTCTCTCCTTGTTCCCAGACTAGCTCTGCCATTCCTCTCCCTCTTGTCCTTGCTCCAGCCCCTTTATGCCACTTGGAAATGGTGCTGGCTGTCTCTGGATGAAGGAGCAGAAGGCAGAGCTGTGAGCAACAACCAACCTGCTCTGTTGCAATGAGGGAAGTGCAAGGCTCCTGTTCAGACCTGTACCCCATTCTCTCTGTCCAGGCATGATCCTCAGCTACTGCTTGGTTTGAAAGTATCATTTCCATGCCTAAGCCTCTGTTTCTGCTGTGGCTTCTTGCCAGCCTTCTGGTGCTCATGGTCACCTGAGATCCTGGCAAAGAGGAGTGTTCTTGTGATGAAAACAGCAGCCATGCAAAGGTGCAGTGCACATTGCTTTTCTGCTGGTTTCTTTATGGAGAAGATCCTTTGCTAGTCTCTTTGTCATGCATTTAATAGCAACAATTGTGCTTATCTTTTTCTGAAAGTGTGCTTGGAGGATACCACCAGAGTTGTGTACAAATAGCTTGAAGCTTACATGAACACTAAAGTTGAAAGCAAGAAGAAAAAGAAAATACAGCCAGGTTATTAGCCATCATGTTTTGCCAAACCTCTGCTCAAAGAAGCCTTTGGTTTGGAACAGATGGTGAGTGGTGCTTTTTTTGTGGTGAGCACTTCTCTAGTTCAGATTTTCACTTCCTTTTTTTTCCTTTCCTTTTTTTACCTTCTTAACCCCTGCCTCCACATAGGTCTCCAGCAGCATAAAAGTTGTCAGCACGTCATTTTGGGAGGCAAGCAGTAAATGTGAAGGGGGGGATGCTCTTGTTGAAATCTTCTACACACTGGCTCAAATGGTGGAGAAGCATCAGCTCAGACTTTCCCAGTAAATGATTAACTTTTGTTTGCACAGAGGAGAGAGCCACAGTAAGAATGCAATTAATTACACTGGCAGCCCAGCCAGGCCAGCAGTCAGCAGTGCTCTCGCTCGCAGCTCCTGGCTCTGCAGGTCTGATTTGAGAGTAACTAATTAAACACAGGTGCAGGCTAGCAGACTTGTTGAATTAATGCAGTGTCTTCTTTTTGGTGTTCCCATGCATTTGTAGCTCACAAAAATAGAGCAGGCACTTGGTGCTACAAATAATAATAGAGTGCTGATGATGGAGGTAATTAATCCTTTATTACTGTGGTGTGATAGGCTGCTGCTAGGGCTGTCATTCAAGTGCTTCTTATGCAAAAACATGTCTCAGAGGTGAAAGAACATGGAGTAGGAGATAGAGGAGTGTTCTAATGGACTTGATTGTGTTATGGGCACAGATAGATCTTCAGGGTTTTGGCAAGGTTGTCAAAATCTGGTAGTCAAAACTCAAGACCAAAATTCACTGCACTATATTCTAGGTTCTACCTTTGACTCACCAGGGCACTTTTATCAGGCAGCAGCTTAAAATAAAAATTCAGTCTCATTCAAATGATACACAACCATGAAAGAGAAATGCAAGGCAAATAAGTGTAGCTCACTGTGCCCTTTCTTTTCTCTTTTATTGCTTCCTGAAGATCCTCAGTTGGCCATTGTCATTAACAGGCTACTGACTCCAGTGGGCCCTAGGTTTAACCCCAGTATTGGTCTTTGTGATGGTGCAGGGGGTGATTGTCTTGCTTTAAGGGAGACTGGCTTTGGGTGGAAGGAATGCAGATGTCCAAGGAGCTGCAAAAAGAGCAAAAACTGTTTAGAGTTATTTATTTCCAATAACAAATGCTGTTCCCCTTACTAGTTCAAATCAAGCTGCAGGACTCAAGTATCTTTTTTGGCTAAAATTAAGGGTAAACTGTGAAAATGTTATCAGACTTCTCTCTCTCTGTTGTCTTTTACTTGTTTGTAATACCCCTTCTTCCCAGACACAGGAATTTTGGGATTTTATGAGATGTCAAGAAGGAAACAACCTTCTGTGTTAGTTGCCCCAAGGAGTGCCAAACACTAAGATGCTTCAGTCTCAACAAGGGAAAACCCCAAAACACAATGTATGCGTTTACTTTAAAGACAAGGAGTGATTTCATGTTCTGGTTCTTGGTGATGAAAATGGTCCAACGCTATTAGAAATGTTTATAGTGGGAAAATAATGCCAAGTCTAATAAATGATCAGATAGGACAGACCATGTTTTATTCAGTGTGGGAACCAAACACTGCCATATTGTACAGATTTGCTGATCTGGAAGAATTGTTCTTGCCTTACAGAATGCAGCTCAAAAGCCGAGCGCATGAATATGACAGTTTTCTCTTTTTTTAATGCAGAGAGTTTTAAGACAGAAACATTGCCTGAAGAGTTTTCCAAGGGATTCTGATCAACTTACGTAAGTTCAGGAAATCAGCAACAATTTGTTGTCCTTCCATATTTTCCAGTGGCTTTTGTTTTTCTTGCATCACAATTCTTATCCCATTGGAGACAAATAGTGTTCAAGTATTTGGATGAGAACTAGTATTCTGCCACAAATTTTAATGCTAACTCCATGGTAGGTAAATAGCTGAGAGCAGTTCTTAGAGCAAGGATAGTTTCTAATTCTTTTTTTCCTCTTTGCTAGTTACTTGTGGCCCGGTGGGAAATTTACATGGTGGAGTGTTTGCCCTCACAGGGGACATAAGAGGTTTGTAAAAACACTTTTCTATGACCATGTGTATTTTTCAACAGCACGAAACATTGCTGACCTTCTCCTGGCTGTGGGTCCTGATGGGAGAGAGCTGGGGAGGGTGAGGCCCTAAGTTACTGCTCAGCTCACAGAAAACTGGAGTGTGTGTGTGCATAACCAACCATGGGTTGTGTCTGCAGCAAGCATGAATTTTTGTTTTCTGAACTCCATGCTCTGAAATTTCCAGGAGCTGCTCTTTGCTGCTGACAGTTGCTATAGGGCTGATGGCAGCAGTGAGGTGGTTTTTGTTCATGTCTTCTTGTCTTTATTAATTTCCAGTGTGTCATTTCAGCTGAAAATATGCAGTTGCTCTTAATGTTCAACAAAAAACATGGTGTTGGCTAGGTGGTTATTTATGTCACAGTAAATATTTGATGAGGAGCTGTGTTATTTTTAGCCACAATCACAACATTTTATTGAAATTTATCGGCCTAAAATGGGCATCTAACCATCTAACACATGATCGTTTGCTACCTTTACAGTTTCCTGAGGGTTTTTTCCATTTTCCTTCACAATTTGAACGGAAAAGGGGGTGATTCACAGTGTTGGTACAGATTGTTGCACACAAGCTGCCGAGTGGGGGCAAACACCAAGCCCCAAATGGCAGGAGCCATGCTGATGGGGAATGCTGCAGCCACTGGAGCAATAAACCCACGAGGGCTGTGCAAATACGTGAATGTACAAATGGATCTCAAAGCTGTGATTTCCATATTCCAGCAATCGCTGCCGTAGGAGTGCATGACTGACAGCACAAAGGACTTAGATTTACTGCAGAGAGATGTAAATTGATAAGCCAGTAGACAGCCATCATTCTTCCTTTATTCTCTCTCTGTATCCCATGTCTTTCTCTGCTGGCATAATCAAAGCTGACACAGTGCATTCTATACCAAGTTATATTTTTCGTAATTATAAGACAGTACATGAGATCTGAAGTTGTTATTCAGGAAACGGCACAAAGCTGACTGAAATACAGGTTTTCAGATTGATCCTGTGATAATATTGTTTTTCACATAGATTCTGGATACTCAGACTCTACATCTATGTCTTTAAGCTGTCTGGGTGCTTTAAGAAGGGATAAGTACAGGAGAAAAAAAAATACAGGGAGCTTTTCCTTTTGTTCAGAGGGAAAAATATACAAAGTGTGAGATACTGGCTTTCTTTCTCCTCGTCAGCAGCTGAATCTGAAGCATTTTGCCACATTGTTTCTAAAAAGGTTTGTAGGTAGCTGACTTTGGGGGAAGAGTTAGAAGAATTCGAGAAACAAATATAGAAAGATCACCCATACAGACCTAGATGAGAAGTCAGCCTTCCCCTCAGCTGACTGACTGGAGTGGCACACCTCTCATGTCTTGAGGCCAAAGAGTCTTTTACCACTGATTCATCTCATTAGGCTCAGCTGTCTCTGACTTGAATTGCAATGTTTTTAGATCTAAAAAGAACAGAGTATGAGATATAATGGAGTTGTTATAATACAGATGCATTTGGAAATCTCATTTTTTCCTTAGGTCTGAAAAAGCGTGGTAAAATCTGAACGCCAATATTGCAGCCCTTTGACCTCAAATGTGTACAGCTGAAAATTCAGATCCCATCTGGACCCAGGAAATGTGGGCAAAGAAAGAAGGCAAATGAATGAAGCCTTCCATGCTCTGGAGCTCAAGCAGAGAGGTTCTGCAGATCACCTTGGAAAATCCCAGTGCTGTGAGTAATCTTCCATATAGTTTCATTTTTAAATTCTCAGGTATTTAAATTGATTTAATGAAAATAGCAAGGATAAAGGAAAAAATGATATTTGGATTTTTACTTAAAACAGATTGAAACTAGTAGAAAAAATGGGATTATCTCACTTGGTAGAGATTATTACTCTTCATTGAAAAGCTGTTTTCTCTTTCAATGTCAGACTTTTTTGCACTTTCAGAAATAAACTGAGAAGCCTATAGCTATACTTCATGGATGTTTACGTGCAGGCCTTGTCTGCTCACTGGGCTTCAGACTCTGATATCTCAAGTCTTGTTTTGCCTCACTGACCTACATGCACAATGACCATAAGGTAGAAAGCAAGGTCTTTCTCTCCTTTTCATCTTTAATGCAGGAAACTTCTCAATCCCAGTAGCTCCTCTGCTTAAATATAGTTAACAGGTAGTTTTAAACTGGCAAATTTTTTTTTTCTTGGAGCAATTAATTCAGCTGCCAGAACTGGGAGCTGCTTCTGTAGTTGATGGAAAAAGATGCTTCTGATGGGAGGTTCAGATCTTAATTGTCCTTTGGAAGCACCTGGTCCTTGATGCAGATGGTACGTGATTTCAGCATCTCAATTTTAAGTGCTTCTAATTAAGCAGGATGGATCTAGAGCTCTTCATGCTGCTGGAAACTTGCTGGGGACATGTGAGGAAAAGCATTGCTGGCCATGCACTCCTGTCAAAAGGCAGTTCCTTGTCTTAGGGCAACTCAGGGAATTACAAAAGAGGAAAGAAGTCCAAATATTTTTGACTCTAGCTAGTGAATAAGATAGCTTATTCTAACTGTTAATAACTTAAGTGAGAGTGGTTGTCTGAAGTCTCCTAAAGATGAACCCCAGGTTACTCCCATCAGTCTGACTACTGTTTAAACCTTTCACTTGCATGTATTGATTGATGCATTATTGCTCATGGCAGGAAGGACTTTTCACCAGAAGCCATCTTCTGGGAGGGTTATAAGGAGTATATTGGAAAAGAATTGAAATTTCTCTGTAACTTGTGCAGTGGACACATAGCTCTGTAAGAGCTGCCAATTGGACACTGCCAAATGATTTTACATAGGTCACTGAAAAAATCTTTGGAGTAGCTATGCCAAATTGCTACAAGCACAGATTAGTTTCAAACATAGAAAGAATAAATGCAAAATCTTATTACTAATTTCCTAGGCCATCCAATTCACAGGCATCTATACTAAAAATGTTTTTACTGGAATATTTTCTTAACAGGGTCATTATGTCTCCTTCAAGGTAATTCTTAAAGAAAGGGTTTGCTTCTCCTCACTTTTTCATGTCTGTGTCTCTGGCAGGAGTAGGCCTTTGGGAGCATCTTAGGAGTGCAAGTGTAAGAAACCAGAATGCCTGCTGCATGTTTGTTGCTGCATATTCCTTCAGAACTTGCTTTTGAAATGCATATTGGTTACAAAATAAACCCGAATGAGCCATTATACTCTGGTGTGTAATTATGTATTTAGGACACATACTACACACAACTTTAAAAGAAATCTGTATGGAAACAAATTGCATTACATTTGCAAATAGCTGAAGGTAGTTGAGCAGCAACACCTCAAGCCTTTCAAAATACTGAAGTAATTTACACCATTTTCTAAAGTAATTATCTCCCTAGCATCAGATTCCTGTTGCTTCAATGCCTTTGCTGCAGAGGAGCTGCAGAGGTCTCAGTATAGCATAAAAGACCTGGTCTTGGCTGTCTAACAGCCAAGTTAGTCTAACACTAAATCTTGATATAGATTTAGTGCCTCTGCTGATGTACCATGGCAGAGCAGGACTGCTGGCCCTCGGGAGGGAACGCTACTTGGGCTTAACACTGCATGCTGAGAGTGGACACATGTGCCAAGCAGAGAGGCACCCCTGGGGCAAGGGTGAACCCCAGCTTCCTGTCTCCCCAAAGTTCAGTGAGGAGCAGAGATTTAAGTCTTGGTTGAACAATTCTGTGATTTAGTGGAGTGATGAATTTACTTTTGTGGCCAGCCTTGAGGATGGGGAACCCTCTGGCTTATTTCAGGGTTTTGAACAGCCACTAGAGCAAGACAGTGCATCTCCCCATCTTTGACAGTGCTGTACCACTTATTTTTCCTCTTTAACTGGTGCTTGGCAAAGTACCTGCCTCTCAGGGGGCCAATCCTTGGAAATAGCCGTGTGGAACAGAAATGGCAGCAGGCACCCGTGAGGAAGCTGTGTGCCTGCCTGGGCCGATGATATGGAACAGCATCAAGTGTGCTTCCCTGCCTTGAGACAGCAGCTCCAGCATTAAATCTACAGAATGCCTTTCTGTGCACACTGCAGCTGGAAATGTTAAGAGTCACGCTTATTAGCACTGGCACATATAAGGCAGAGCTGCAGTAAATGAGTTAAGCGTCCTGAGGATTTGAGGACTAGGGTGTTGCTTTTCCTTTTCTGGAGCTGAGCACTCGAGAGACTTTCATTAAACCTGGGACTTGGCAGATCCTCATGCTGATTCTGCCACTTATTTGTTGTTCGGCCTGGGGCTAGTCACTTAACCTCTTGCCGCCCTAATTTCCCCATCTGGAAAATTATATTTACTTACCTCTCCTGGGGATTGCACGGGACTTAATGAATGCCCGTGAGGGATTCGAAGATCCTCAGATCTGAGATGATACAGGACTGCAAAAGATTCACTGCATGTGCAAGGAGGAGGGGATGTGTGCCCAGGCAGGAGAGCCTGCCTGCACTCCTGGCCCGGAACCAAGCCTGAAAATCTAATCAGCAGGGGAGGATCTACTCCCTGTTTTAGATTAAACCCCCTTCCTTGTGGCCTTTTCAGATTTGCTGGTTGAAGGAAGAGGCAAGTGAGTGAATGGGGAGGAGGGCAGCTGAGGTTAACTGCTTTCCCCTGTTGGTCCCCTGGATCTTTTTGTCAGTGCAATAACAGCTGGATCTCCCAGGAAGGTAATGATCTTCCTGCGTACTCCATCTTGCTGCAGGCTATTAGAGAAGCCAGGCAACCCTGTTGCTGCCCATTTCTTTAGCAGGAAAAAATGAACCTCTGACCAAAAAAAAAAAGGTCCTCCATATAATTAAGCAGCATTAGAATGAGGCCTGTGCCTTTGCTGATGAACTTCAGTGAAAGCAGATGGTCACAATGGTATTAAAAACTAAAGACTTCAGTCAAGCTTTTAATTGAAAACAATTGGACCCTGCTGGATGGTAATTACCTTGGCTGCTTGCAAATAATATCACAGCACTGCTACCTATGAAGGAAGAATGAAGACTGAGTTAATAAGATCTGCTTAATCTGCATACAATAAACAAGGAGCATCCAAAACTATTTTCTCTGGTAGCTTCTTCCCTGCAAGAGGCTTTTAAGTGCTTAGCAGTGTGAAAAGGAACACGGAGTGGTAGAAATTGAAACGTGTGAAATGTTTGCTGGGTCTATAAAATAACTTGAAGACCCCATCTTCCCTCATCTCCCTCCTTTTCTTAACAGCTGAAATTCCAGATGCATCTGAGAAAAACAGCAAAATATAATAAAGTGGAAAAGCCCTAGATTACCCAGCATTCCTCCTCTTCTGAATGGCAACAGTAATGAGAGGCTGTGTTTATCTTGTTTTATCCACTTCTTCCCTTGCCTGATCGACTGGAAGGCTGGGGCCTTCTAAACACCCAGAGTGTTTTTCACCGTGGTCTTAATTGGATTTTAACGATCATTAACTTAGTATGCCTCAGTGTCTAACAAAGCCAACATAGTATGTGGCATATTTTGCCCCCCTGACCATTTTCTCATTTCTCTGCATAGTGCTGGGATCAGATGAGAGTTAGAGGGCTAGACCACCTAAAAGGGTCCTGAGTCCTGATGTGCTACACATTTGTTGACACAACGTGACATTAATACAGCTTTACGATGTCTTCCCTGCTGTGAAAAGGGACCTGTGTGGTTGTGGGTGTGCAGGTGGAAAAAACAGTCCCAGTGTTGCCTCTTTTAAACACAGGTCCTAGATGTGTATAGAATGAATCAAATCTTGTCACCTTCCATGTAAACACTATTTTTCATGTGGCTGCTCTCTTGGGTGTCACTTTTTGTTCCCCTGTGAGCAGGTAAGATGCCTTGCTGCCCCAGCAGACCTCAGACTGCAATTTTGCAAAATTAATGAGTAGCTGTGAACTGCTAGTAAAAGTGATGCAATGATTTTCCATAACATATCATTTTAGAAGCAGTGACTTGAACTGCTTTTTCTTTTCCTATCCAAATATTTGTCTTTTCAAGGCACCAGCCAAGAGTTTGTCTTGTCTTGTCTGGCAGTATGATGAAATGAACTTTTCCAGTGTGTTTTGTCTGGATTTGATGATTTTATGCCTGGAGTTCAACTTTCATTCACTTAATGCACCAGGATTAAACAGAGAGTGAGGTCCTGAACCGTGGAAGTCAGAAGTTGTTTTCACAGTGTCTTTGGTATGATTTTGCTAATTTCTATGCAACCAAAATATGCTTAAAGCTTTATTGCTGTAATGCCTTGGAAATTGCTTGCTGACCCAGTCACAAGATACGGGTGTGTTCCACAGAATCATTAAAACTGATGGTTTTAGCTCCTGCACTGCCATCTAAGTTGAGGCATTCCCATTTGTGCTTAGGGCTTACCCTTGGTCTTTCCTCTGCTGCTGGACAGCTGGAGAACAGATCTGCAGCTGATGGGATGTCCTGCTCTGTCTCCTGGCTCTTCTGTTCAAGCTGGTGGCAGGGTCTGAGCAGAATTTTGCTCACAATATTGTCCCTTGTCCTTTATCAAAGAATTTGGGACAAATTTGAAAGATCTTTCAAAAGTGTCTTATGCTAGTGGGTGTGGTGATTTTATCAATTTTACCTACTTTTAACTCTACAGAGTTTTACTTTCAACTCTACAGAGTACAATCTCTCTGTAATTACTGTTTGCAGCTTAAGGGAGCTGGTGTGGACAATACTATTTTAAAGGCATAAGCTCTATTGATCTAAAGTATTCTGAGCGATAAACAGCTGCTCAGGTTGATTAAAGCTGAAGGGAAGCTGAAGCATTTAATCAATCTCCAAAGCTGCTCCAAGTATATTACAAAGCAATTGTGATTATTGCTATTATATGACAAGCTATATCATAATAAAGAAAGAGGGATCATTTTTCTTGGAAGCATTTAGAGGTGTTGTGGTGCCTCTTCTCAGCCTGCCTCATGCTGTCACCTCTGAAGCTTGGCTAAGTGACAGAGCATGCCACTCAAGCAGACTAATCTTGAAGGGAAAATACAAGAGCAGGGCCTTTCAGCTCCCCAGAGCCTTCTCTTCCCTGTGTCTATCTGTGGCGGACAACAAGTGCTTGGGGAAGAAAAACAAGAAAGAAGGCAAGTGTACAGTACTGCTGGCCACATTGTAACTGCCTCTGATCCTGCATCCTGCTTGGCTTGGGATCTTCTGGACTGTGGGATATGTTTGTGCCTGTCTAAAAGTCCTGAAGGCATCTTTCCTTTATTGCTTTTTTTAATCACTTCTTGAGCCTTTCTTTGGACAGCCTTAGGCTTCACACCATCCCACGGTGGTGCATCACACAGTGTTCTGACGTGGTTTTGTAAAATGGTACTTTTTTCTCTTTTTCAACTTTCAGCCTGATGTTTTCTGTTAGTGCCTTCTTACTCTTGTGTTAAGAAAAGCAATGGATAGTAGTTATCTGTTAACCTTTTCTATTTCATAGACACAGAGCTCTGTCTTATCCGGTTCTGTTGTCTCCCTCTTTTCCAAGGCCGACATAGTCTCCTTTTATTGGAAGGTGACTTATTCCTCTCACGTCTGCATCTGCTGCTCTTCTCATTTTGCTGCATGCTCTTCAAAAGGGTGTAACCAGAATTTCATATGTTACTTTAAGTTGTGGGTTTTTCTAAGGTTATTACTTCTTTCTTTTTCAGGTGCTCTGTGATCTGTACTTATTACATAAAACATACACGTCATGCAATATTGAGGACGTGGATATAAGATTTCTGAAAACTAACGTGCAACGTGAAATAATCTTAGGTTTAAGATCCATCTTATGTTGCCTTTAGAATGTAAAAATGGATAGTATATGAACAGAATAGGACTCTTCCCCATAGAAAATATAATATGAAAACAAATAAATAGATAAATTTACCTATTAATTTGTCTATTTATTTATTAATCTTAATAAACTTATTAAACTTTGTCCTTGCTGTAATTGCAACAAAGAAATCATAGCCTTTGTAAATGCTATCCTTTCCAGGCTAAAGTACTAACTTCTCCAGAGGGTGTCTTGTGTCAGTCCTCTCACTGCGTTCTTTAATCTTTCTCCACCAAAACCAGTCAAATTGTCTCAAAACCAGGAAGGCCATGCTGTCTGAAGGGACCTGTGAAGATTTGTTGTTGGGAGCCTCTGCTTTTGCTGAAAGCACCCCATACAGGCAAGCCAGACCCCCTTGGCTTAGCAGGCAGACACAAGATGTCTCTTCTTCTGTTTCTTTATTATGATATCTCTTTTGAAACTTTGAAACATTTGAAGCCACTCATGACCTTCATGTGAAACCTTATGCATGGTCCTGGTGTGCTGGAGGCTGAGCCTGGTGCAGTTATCTTTGTTGCATAAGATTTTTATTGCAACAACTGTTAAACCTTCTTTATGGTGGTTTCACATGAGAGTCACAAGTCTTCTGGGAAACTTCTCCTGAGTTTCACTTTATAGTGGTATGAGAGTCTTGTGAGTCTTGTGAATGTAGGTTTTTAGGTGAGAGTTTAGACCAGTAAATAAAATTTTAATTGGGAGATCTTGAGGCCCTCTGTGGATGGATTGTTTGCCCTGTGAGAGGAGGTGTTGGGTGCTGGGCCTGTTCAGCTGGGGGAAGAGAGAGCTGCAGGTGAGCCTAAGAGCAGCTCAGGTCCTTGGCTTAGCTTGGCTAGGACCAGTTCCAGTGTGATGAATGGGTTGGACAGCTGGAACTACAGACTGAGCTGTCAGAGGTATCCCACTGGAAAGTGGGCCATAGCAATCTATTGGCAGTAGCCCTCCTTTCCTCAGGATTAAATTTGAGGAGCATTTCCTTTGCTCTCCTGTGTTAATTTAGTGGTGCCAGCATGGTACAGCTACATGGCAAATCAACAGGGAACCAGTTCAAGTTAAAGATAATCCTTCTTTTTTGTTCAGTTGTTTTAACCAGTTTTAAAATTGATTCCTCCCACAGCTCCATGAAAACTCATCTTTGTGCCACTGAGGCACAGGGCAACAGTAGGAACAGCCTTCAGGGAATGCTTCACCTGGCACTGGGTTCCAAAGAGGCATTTTTCAGACTGTGGCTTTACAGGCAGTTTTTAAGAGCCTCCTGGAAATATCTCCCAATCCCATGGCTCCACACATTGCCAGCTGAAGATGACCGCTTGTGAAACTGGACTTCAAGCCAAGTCTGTGGCAAAAATAGACTGCAAAAACAATGAATCACAGCTCAGCACTGCTGCACAATACTACACTAATGCTGTTCTGCCATTTTTTTGGGCTGCAATCTCACCATCTGTTAATTGGCCCCATGGCACATTGCTGCGGGGTGCTGAGATTCATTGCAGGCCTACAGGATGATTGGTGTCTCCTGAGCCGCTCAGGACGGGGCCTCTCTGCTTTTCAGGTCCTGCTGCTGTTTACATCAAGTGCCCTGAGACTGGGTATCCCAGCTGCCATCCTCCACCTGACTGCCTCAGCCTCATTGCTATTTTATGACCAGAGATTGTGTCTGAGCAGAAGGATGTGAGTGCATTGCTTGCCTTCGAGAAAATCAGTTTGTGCCAAGGAGGACAGGATTTTTAGACACTGCAACTGTCAGTTAACATCACCTGGAAACCAAGTGTGATGCTTTGAGTGGGGTGGGGCTGATCTTCCACCCCAGCACTCAGCCTTGGCATTGCTTCCACCAGGATCAGAATAATTCCTGGCCAAGCTAAGACCCGTTTCTGTTTATGTTCCTTTCTAAAACTTTCTAAAACTAAACTCTTTTTTCTCCACTGCACATATTTTCACATTTGTGCTAATGAAAGTGCTGGATTGTTCTAGGGGATCACATGGAAAATATCTGTGAGCTTTGGCCATCTCTCTGAAACACTACAGTCGATTTGGTGTTTGCTTTGGCATGTTGCTGTGAAAGATTGTAGAGTGCTTGTGTTTATAGGCATACAGGGAAAGCGGGCTCCTGCTCATTGTGCCTTTGTGAGGCTGCCAGACTGTCTGGCCCCATCTATTCTACTGTAAGTGAAAAGAGCCTCGCGAGTGCTCGCTGCGTGCTTGGACCAGGCTCTGCTAGGTACTATGCTTGCTTGGAGGCCATTCTGTCAGCTTGAAAAATATCTTTCTGCCTGAATAGTGTTTACTCCCTGTTGTTACAAGTAACGTGTAAGATTGCTTGTCAGTGAAGAAAATTTTCCTTCTCCCCTTTGTTTCTTCTGTGTACTGGGCAGCTTTGCATGTAGTGCATTTTGGTGGCCCTCCTGTAGCAGGCAGCCAGCTGTCCTTTGAGAGCAAGAGAGGATTTTCATACAGAATAATGTGTGAAAATTGGTGTTATGATGCAGCCCTGGTTGAAAAATTTGGACTGTGCCCTTGAGGAAGGACTTTCCTCGTGTAGCCCGCTGCCTTCTAAAGGAAGATAAGACACAGATTTTCAGGTGGAAGGCTTTTCTGTCCAAGTGAGATTTCTCTGCTTAGTGTAGAGAGTTATTGCCCAGCTGAAAGCTCCTACAGCACCCTTTGAGAAGATGAAGGATGACTCCAGCAACTCCTCTATTAATTTTCCTGTCTACAACAAAGCTTGTTCTAAAATTTAATGATATCTGTGAGCTCCTGCTGAAAAGTCATGGGCTGCAGGACCTGGAATTGACTAGTAATTATAAAGTGCTTTGATATTAAACTTGGAGTCTGAATAGCAGTTTGCAGAATTCAGATCTCCTTTCCTTTTTTATGTGACAACAAATATTTATCTCAGATTTCCTTCTCTGGAAGGAACATGTGGAAAACAAATGTGCATTGATGGGAATTGCTAGGTACCTGGCCCCAACCTGTAGCCTAGCAATCATTAAGTCCTCTCTGTAACTGCACTGAGTATTTGGAGGAAGAAGCAAATACTGCTGCAATGGATGATTGCAACTAAACTGCAAACACACCTGCTCACTGCTTCCCGGAGAGCTCTGTCAGCTTTTGTTTCAAGCAGTGGCTCTGTTAATTTCAGCAGGGGAGGTACAGTAGCTGATGCTTAACAATTAATATTTTTTGTTTTCTTTCAACTGTCACGCTTTGCCAGCCAGTTCTGCTTTACAAAATCTGTAAGTAGGGAAGATAGGTGTTTTCTTTTGTACAATGGACATCAAGGAATTAAAGGATTCAGGAATTAATGAATAATGCAGGCTGTTTTTACAACAAATATTCACTCTGCTACGTACACACTGATACTGGGCTCAGACATTTTGGTATCAGCAACAGAGCCAAACCCCTAGGAGCAAAAGGTAAATACACTTTTATTCAGTGTCAGCCACCAATCTCTTTCCAACTTTCAGGACTTACTTTTGTCAATGAGGGACTTCTGCTTGAGAATCTGGCCTGTTAGCTTGCAGTGAAAATAGATAGGACCAGGCACGTTGTCTGCACAAAGCTCCCCTGTGAGACTCTGTGCAGCGCAGCCTGCTCCTCCTCCTGCTGCTCTTCATGTTGCTCCTGTGAATCAACAGTGCTGCATGTGCTCAGGCCAATAGACTCAGACACTTGGCTTCTCACTAAAGCAGCTGAACTACCTGAGGCAGGAATAGCAGGAGCCTTCTCAAGAAAACCAGTCAGTGACCTTCTCTGTCTTGGCCTGATGGTTTGGAGGGATATTCATGACATTGTGGAGATTGAAGAAAGCCTAGGAATTTGCAGTTGCCCGGTAGCCTATGTCAGATTCTCTTAGTCCTGCCAGTGTGAGACCTTTCAGGAGGGATTTTCCCTGGTGTAACTTTTTAGTTTTTTGGTTGCGGGGTTTGCCTGATATTTGAAAATACTGAAAGCAAACTCTAAGAAGGCTTGCTTTGCCAAGAAAGCACCTTACCAAAGCTCTGCCTAGTACAAACAGATCAATCCTCCAGCTCAAGGGCTGTTTCATACTCTGTGCCTCAAAGCATTGACCACCCTAACATCAACAGCCAGCAGGCCTCTAGATTTCACTAGTACCAGGATTAAACATTTGTTTCCACTTCTCAAACCACTGTGTCTGAGGGTTCGAAACACTGCTGTGCCTGCTTGCATGCCCCCTGCCAGGGCATGGGCACATGCTTCTGCAAAACCTGTCAGAGGTAAGCTGCTGCTGAGAGCTACACAGCACCGAGTGCAGCCCTGTGCATTTGAGGAGATAAATTAATCCAGAGGAAGAGGCGTCTCCTGTGCTGCTGCTATTTCAATGGGAAAGAGGAACCCTGAAATGCTCTGTTCTACTTCAGTAGCTCTAAGAGGAGCCTTTCTCCAGAGGTCTCTGGCACCCAGACTAACTGAAATAACTCCAAAGGGCTCTTCTAAACCTAATTCTTCCCCCACGTTTTCAGGGTTTTTTTCTTTTTTTTCCCTTCTGTCTACACCCTCTCTTGAACAAAAAGCTTTAAAACTCTTTTTTTAGAAAGGATTCAAATGTGATTTGGATGAAGTTAATGTGAAGTCAAGGTTGATTGCTCATCCCCCTGAAACCACCAGCAGTGACTGAGTGCCGGTGAGTGTGAGAAGGGAGCTCAAACATAGCTGGGAAACTTGTGAGCAAGCTGAACAAAGGGTGGGCTGGAGGCTGGGGATCTCTGCTCCCCCTCCCCCGTGTGACTTTCTCAGCTCACGCTGAACCCTTTGATCACTGTCCAGCACGGGGTTGTGTGGCAGCCTGGGCTGGGGCCAGCAATGTATACATGGGTGGAGGCTGCTGTAATCTTCACATGCCCTTGATCCACCCTGTACCCTTATTTCCACAAACACTGTCGTGTATCACAGTGGGGTGCATCACTGCCTGTGCTCCTTCAGCTAAAACACGGGACTGCCCCTGCCAAGCACAGCTCCCTTTTCCAGAAATCTCTCTGATAGCAACAATTTGAAAAGTGCGCTTGTGTTTTGTAACCATGACTCTATTTTTGCCAAGCACATTTGTATTTGAGACTGAAATACAATGCTGTGAGTACAGTAGTGCTATTCAGCACACAGAGTTCGTGTCTTTCAGAAGTGGCTGCTCTGGGAGAGCTGCACAGGCGAGCATGGCTACCTTGGGAAGGTGCTGCTCATGAAGAGAGCACTGCCAGAATCTTTCCTCTGGAAGTACATTCTCCAGACCACCTGCTTTAGGGCAGTATTTTAGCTCCATATTGCTCTAATAAGGATTTTAGTACTGCGCTCAGTGGCAATTAAGAACTCTTGAGTCCAAGATAAGTTCTTACAGATGTGCTACCATTATCATTCATACTTAAACATTGACATAGTAACCTGCAAAATGAGCTGAAACTCTTGAAGAAAAAGGCTAATTTTCTCTAAGGTAGAGTGGATGGGAATCAGTGATGGAGATGCAAGCTGTGGTCCCCTGTGCTTTTCAGTTGTATTTGTTTGTGGCCATTCACCATCAGAAAGTGGAAAGAGGGACCTGGTTTCTCCTGTCTGGCTCTGCCACTGTGTCTTTGGGTAAGTTGCCCTCAGCACAGTGGTACAAGTAGACTTTAGGTGTTTGAAGAGCACCAGCAACATGTGGCATGCCAGATTTTAAAATAAACTCTGTTTTCTATTAAAACCTACCACAAAACAGATATGGATTCCACTCCTCTGCATTATTTCCTATTTATTTTGGGATGGCCAGAGGACCCTAAAGGAATTGAACCATTCCCTAGCAAGATCTCTTTGGCTAATTCCTGCAGTATGTATGGCCCTCTTGTAATGTGACACCAGTTTTTCCCAGATGGTAGATCCACTGCTCCTAGAAGGTCGCACTAAGGATGTTGCAACCCTGCAATTACTTTTCTAGTGCAAATGCTGAAACTGGTTGAAGAATATTGGGAAATCTAGCTCGTCTCTCTTCAGCTCTCCCCTCCCCCCAAATCACTTCAAAGGTCAATGAAATGCAGTTTTGCTCAGACAGAGGAGAAACCTTGTTGTGGCGTCTCCTCATTCCTCCACATTTCAGCACAACAGGACCAAACCAATACACAGGCAATTGCATGGAGCATGGGACTGTGAAACTGCCATGAGCCTGCCAGTTGTGCAGCTCAGAGTCCATGTGGAGCCACGAAGAGGGGTCAGGATGTGTAGGGGCAATTGCCCAGGGCTTGGGCATGAGTAGTGGGCATGTTGTGTGATGGTGATGCAGAAAAGCAGGTCTGACTTGGGGACCCGTGGGACTCCTGCCCCTCCTGTCCACTGCTCACAGGGAAGCTGTAGCCAAGTGAGCTCAGCGCCTGCTATGGGACAGGAGGGGGTGCTGCTCTGCTGTTTCAGAGCATCCCCTATCCTGCTACTCTGGTGTAGTTACTGAGGTAAAAATCCTGTCTTGTAGACAGAGTATTTGCTGCTCAACCAGGGAATCATCGATCCCTTTGTATCGGGTAGAAGATGCAGCTGAAGAAGCCTGGGGTACCTTTATGCCTACTTGCTTATTACTGTATCCACACTGGGAACTGTGGTGCTGCATTAGGACAGAGGACAAATTCCCAGGGCTGCTTCCCTCTACTGTGCCTTGGAGGTTGATGTCACCCCAGGAGCAGCTCCCAGATTGCTCTGAAGCATCCATAAGCCCCAAAGATCTGGATGAGGATGTGGCCCTTACCCTGGGCCTGGACTGCAAGTCAGCCCTGAGGTGAGATGCAGTGATGAGCAAGGATTGAGGGAAAAATGAATCTGGTTTAGGAAAGCTACCTGTCTTTAAGAATATTTTGAATGTTCTCATTTTTTATGCAGTATTTTAGAACGTTTCAGCTGCTCCCATTTGGAATTCAATTCCTCTCCCTTTTAATCAATAGCAGGCCTTAACAAAACAATATCTCACCGGAGACACAAGCACACGGTGCTGAACAAAGCAAAAGAGCCACTGGCTTACAGCAACAATTGCTGCTACACAATGGGTTTTCAAAGCTCAGTATATATTTTGTCCCTACTGGGAAAACTATAACAAGACTGAATTAGTGGCTAGGCTTGCCAAAGGGAGAAATTAAAGCGTGATGACTTGTCGGACACCTTGAAGTACCTTTATTTATTTTGGGGGAGAGGGCAGCATGGGGAAATAAGACGCCTATTAGGGAAAATTATTTTCTGTGGCTTTCCAAAGTGTACAGCAGATTGGCACACCTAAGGGCTTAATCCAGGTCAGGGATCGGGAGTACCTTCTGGTGGTTCTTGAGAGGAGCTGACAAATGTGGGGATGCTGCCCACAGATCTGGGGATGGGCAGGGATGGGTGTAGGAGTGTGGCTTTCAAGGACAGAATGGTCTGGGAGTCCCTTCTCCTTGCCAGGGGAGGCTTGGGGTTGGTTTGCAGGTGGCTGTTTGGTGAGGCAGAGAGAAGAGGGAGATACTATGTGAGAGCAAAGCAAATTCCCTTCCCTGTACGTGGCCGGTCACCCCTGAGCTTGCAAACTTGGCTTCTCATCTGTGGATCATGACAGCTCCTTGCTCTGGCACTAATGGGTTTCAAGAGCTCCCAGTGAGCTGTAATCAGCTTGGTTCAGGGCTCAGCTTGCACCTTTACAAGCACCTTCACCCCTTGCTGTTAACCTGTGGTCTCCTCTATTCGGCAGCCGAGCTTGTAAATTCATGTAACCAAATAGCTGTGCTGTTAACTGCCTGCACGAAAGTGAACAACACATCCATCTTCCAGTGCCCAGCCAGCAGCCTAATGACACTGCTCACCGTGCTTGTGGGCAGCCTTTCAGACATAACTAACTCTGGCACTGTAAAAACAATTGTTTCAGTGCTCACACAGGCCACATGGCTCCTCTGGGCAGAGGAGGGAGGTTGTACAGGCAGAAGGCTTCCCACGGACTGTCCCTGTGCACCAGTGCCCTGTGCCATCGTCATCACATTCCACGGTCTGATGGCTGGCTGGGGAGAGCTTCACCCTGCTGGTAAATTGTGCCTCACACCCAGAGCAGCAGCCTGCTTGCAGTGGTTTTATTTTCGATTGTGATTGATGTTTGACTAGTCTTTTTTAAAAGGCAGGCCTCAGTTTTGCTGTCTGTAACCTGAGTGCAATTCTCTAAAGTAAAGTGCCAGCAGGAGGACAGCTGCTAATGAAACACTGAATGGTGCTGGGGTTTTCTGCCCTCTCTGCCTCTTGCTGAAGTCTGTGGCTTGAATCCTCCAGTCTTGAGATTGATCTTGTCACGAAGATTGTCTGAATGCAGCCCTGGCTTCTTATGAGCAAGTGTGGGGGAGGTTGGGCTGCAAGTTCACCCTTGGCTAGAGACCCCACAGAGGAGCTCAGCTGGAGTCACCACTGAGGAGACTAGGTGTGGCTGCTTCCATGGATGCTCGTGTCACTAGTGGTTATTGGAGGAGAAACAGCGCAGCTTTCTGTCTGCAAGTACCTGAGACCTGCCATCAGCAGCGATCTGATATGTTACCTTCCTCG